AGTTTAAAGTTGTTTCTTTAACTGAATTCTTACATTTATCATTAAATCTAATCAGAATTGAAGTGTATTGTTTTGAATTTATCACATACCTGTGTCATATATGTAATCTGGGTTGGGTAAGATTACTTTGAAATGTAGTTACTGAATACAAATTACATGGTACTTTATGTAATTAGAAATATAATCCACTAAAACAATCACTGAAAATATTCCACTTTATACTTAAAAAAGTGTTTTCAAAATGGACACTGGCATAAAAATCAGAGAAGAAGAGGAAGAAAGGCAGAAATAGAACAGAGGAGAATCTTTTTTTATCTTTAAACATCTCAAAACATTTTAAGTGCAATAAAATACACTCTGCACATTCAACACGGTTCTTGTTTCTCTCGCCAGCTCTGCCACAAAGCGGAGAACGTAACTAAGAAACCCTGAACGTCAGATCAGACGAGCTTCTCACGAGTTAATAGAGCGTCATGAAAAAAAGACATAATCAAAAACATAATAATCTTTCACATTGTAACTATAATCTAATTACACATCTCCTCAAATGTAATCTGGGCTGATCTTAGTTGATTGTTTTGTAATGTGATTACATAATCCCAATTACTACCTAACCTTGTATGTAATACATGTATAGGAATGATTATGATTGCCAAACTTTATCTTTAGTTTAATAGAATAGAATAAACCTTCTCTGGAGCCACCAGCAGCAGCTCGGCGATGGGGGAGGTGGAGGCCATGGTGTTTCGGTCGACGCCGTGGATCTGGAAGGCTCGGGACATGCTCCTCACCCGCTGGTACGTGGTCAGGATCTTCTTATAGCGGATCAAAACCCCGTCTGGGTCTTTAACTGGGGGGAAAATTAGATATCCCTTTGGATAATGAATCTGCCTGGTTGATGTGTTAAATATAAATTGTGTATTAAACTGAATATACACCGTTTTCTGTCACACACTCACCTCTCTGTCTCTCCCTCCCATGGGTGATCCTGAAGATCCTCCTCATCTTCATCCTCGGCTCCCCGTTGGCTCGCCCTCTGCCCTTCTTCTTTGACCCCTTCTCCACCGACGAGTCCTCCTCTTCCTCCTCCTCCTCCTCCTCTTCCTCCACGTACTCGTCGTCGGTGTAGTATTTGTCCTCCTCCAGGTGAAACTCCTGCTTCACTGCAGCCGTCGGGGATCGAGTGGAAACCAACACAACAACTGTGAACACAAGTGAGATATTTCTAACACAGTAACATGCAGCCACGCTGACTGATGGTTCCTCACCAGGGATGGCGGCGCTGCGGCGGGTCCGAGGTCCCGGTCCCTGCACGCGTTTGAGGGTCATCCCAGACCTGGTGGTCATGGGGGAGGGAGGAGACGGAGAGGTGGCAGGCTGGACCTTCACACCGCGCTGGGGGTCTCCACACCACTCTGTCACTGAATGGGATTATAATGATAATAATATTTAATAATAGTAAGAATACCTTCATCTTAAAGAGTAAATATAAATGATTTCAGTTGTATTGTGTCTGTGGAGTGAGATAATGGGACACAAATATTATTCTTATTTTAGACTAAACTCTACTTTTAATGCAGTAAACGTTGCTTCTGGAACTCGAGTATTTATAGTATTTCTAATTTGTACTTTTGCTCCACTAAATACTCACGTTTGTTCTTATGTAAGATCTAAATGTAGAAAAGCTCCAGACCTCCACAAGGGGGCACCAAAGCTTCATGGTGGGGTCATGAGGCCTTTTAGTTGTCTTGTAAGCAAACTTTTAATAGATATACACAGTAGGGCCTATATCTCAACAGTTTCTAATTTCTGTGACAACAACTACACTCAAAGTTTAGATTATTATTTAAGAAAAAAACTTTTAAGATATATTCACAGCCTTTAGTCTCTGATAAACAGCTTTATCTTGCATTAGAAATGTTCGCTGTTCAAACAACCCAAGAGCTTCGTGTTAGGGAGAGAAGAAAACACTGAATTTAACAAGAATGAAGCCTGTTAATTATTTATGTTATATAATTATATTATAAAAACTACATAATACAGTTTTACACAAACTTCCTGCAGTTATTGTGTTCACTATTTGGCCCCATTGTTCTGTACTGTTATTTATTGTTATGCATTGAATAGAACAGGAAATATCCCTAAAATAAATGTATATTGTCCCTATTGTAGATATGTTTATTCTATATTTCCCCACAGATATTAAATTTAATCATTATTCATCTATTATTAATTCAATAATTACACTCGTATGTTAAATGTAACTCGTGTTTGAACTTGTTTGAACGAGGTTTGTGACGGGTGAGTGTGCCGACTCCTCACCCTCCGGAGGCCTCATGCTGACGATGAAGCGGTCCAGCTGACAGCGCAGGAAGTTGCGTTCCTCCTCCAGCTCCTCGATGCGCTTCTGCAGCCAGGCGTTCTTCTCCAGAGCGACGTACAGGTGAGCTCGCAGGTTAGAGACCAGGATGAAAGGGCTGTACTGGGAGTGAGGAGGCTCCTGCACCACGGGCTCTGCAGGGGGAGGAGAGGAGAGGAGGGGAGGGGAATCAGAGGAGGAGAGAGGAGGGGAGTGAAGGAAATAGAGAAGAGGAGAGAGGAGGAAACAGAAAAGAGGAGAGGCGAGGAGGTGGGAAGAGAGGAAAGGAGAGGGGAGAAGAGGAGAGAAGGGGAGAGGAGGGAAGGGGAGGAAACAGACGAAAGGAGAGGGAGCAGAAGAGAGGAGGAAACAGAACAGAAGGGA